GGCTGTCCCCCTCCCGCAGCCCGTGTGGCCTTGTCAGCTGGTGAGTTTTCCACCCGCAGCCCAATGTGTGCAAAGACAGGCTTGTTAAATGTGCTCAACCGGGGATTTTATTCCAGATGTTCGAGATGACCCCCTTCCTCTGAGGGCAGCTGGCATGCTGATAAAACGCTGTGATACTATAAATAAACCTGTCAGCTCTGCCAGGGAGAAAAGCCTTTGGTTTGAACAAGAGTTTTTCTAAACAGGAGCCCAAGAGTTTACTTCCTTCCCTTGGGATATATGTTGACCCCTGATTTTGGGGAGGAGCTGGAAAATGTAGGTTTCCCTGTTGCTCTCAACCTGATGGAAGAGAGTGCTTGCAGAGGGGAGAGGATTGACCTGCTTGGGAGAAGACTCGGAGAAGATTTGCTGCTCTGCTTTTCTGCAGGCACATACCTGTCCAGTCTCCCTTTGGAGACTTCTGCATTTGCTAGAATGAGGACATCCTCCGTGTCTTGGTACTACCGGCACGGACGTGCCCCTCCTCGCGCTGGGCTGGGCTCTGGCTAAAATAACTCGTGTAGCCAAAACAATGGCTCTGGGTCACTTTGCCCATGTAGCAGAGCTGTTGCTCCCCTGGTTTTGCTACAGGTGGAGTTTTTGCAGGCTGTGTTTGGGAGCTGGTCCAGCCTTCCTGAGGCGTGGGGCTGTGTTGGGCAGGTCTGGGCTTCCTGCAGGTTGTGTGGGAGACGCAGCTGGGTCCTTCTGCCTTAGCTGGACAGGAGGTAAATACAGCCCTGTTGCTACAGCTGGGGAGAACAGGCACTTCTGGCCCTTAGGATGGGTTTTTCTGAGTTTGGGCTTGCAGGGCTGGCTCTGCTGCCCTGGAAATCAGCTCACCAAAGGGTCACAGCCAGGAAAGGAAGGACTGTCCCTTCTGCTGTGGTGAGTGATTTGGCTGGTTCAGTCTCTTGCAGGGCACAGAGGGCAAGTGCCAACCTGGGGGAGGAAAGGCTGAGCAGCAGATCTCGCTTCTGGAGAGTAAACAGTGCTAAAGCTTGTGCCACTGCAGGGTGGTCCTGAGCCCCAGCTGGGCTTGTGCATGGCAGGAGCATTGCCCACAGGGACAAAGACGGGTCAAACGGTAGCAACGACTCAGTATTTCGCTGGGAGCCTGTCTGCAGTCTCGGAGAAGAGCTGTATTGGGTGTGACTTGTGCGATGGGCTGGCAGGCTGCAGGAGGTGGGATGTCCCCCTGGGTCATGGGGAGCAGCAGCCCAGTCCTCCCTGTGCTGGAGGCTGCTGGTGTTGTGGGACATGCTGCTCAACGTGTGTCAGCTTCAGACAAGTCACCTCCTGGGGCCTGGCTATGGGCTTGGGTTTGAGTTGAGATGGAAAGCCTGATCTACTCTTTTAGACAACTCCTTCCACATTAGAGGCCAAATCTCCTTCCCGACCCTGTGCTGGGCTCTGGGGAAGGAAGGAGATAAAAACTGCCCCAGACCATCCTTAACCTTGTGGCAAACCCACCACTGCCTCCAGCATTCAGTGTAAGTTCTGCTCTTGCCTTGCTGGCTTGTGAAATGCCCAAGACTATTTGTGTCTCAAGAACTGACAGGGTGGACCCAGAAGGATGAGGACAGCTGAGAATTAATTAGGAGCTGTTGTTTAATTAGCAGTGTCTCAGTATATTTGTGGACGAGAGCTGGGTGCCAGGGGACTAGCATATCTTGTGAGCTTCCAGCCTTCCTGCTTAGAGGGCACGAGCCCTTTGTGTCTGAGGTTGTACCGGTGCATTTTGGTGTAAAGGCCATCAGTACAAAGGCCTCATCATGCTCCTCTGTGGGGTCTCACCTTTGTCAGTGTCTACTTCCCGTAGAGCTTTTCTAGGAATTACCCAATCTTTGCAAACTGGTTGAGAGTAACTTGCTCTGTCTGCACATCTTGCTGACTCCTAGGCTTTCCATCTTCCCAGCACCATCTGGTCCTGCTTTCCTGGGAGTGTGGGTAACCCCAAACCCATCGTCTTCATGCAGATCCAGGGCAGGGGCTTTACAGGACTAGAAGATCTCAGGGCGTACCAAAACTTGTGATCTTTTTCTCTTCAACCCACCCAGAGGTTTCACTCCAGGGTGGAGCTGTGGTGCTGTGTGTCGCGGTGGCCTCCTGCTCCTGCCGCAACAGCCCATCGATCCGTCAAGGGCAGCTCTCCACTGCCATCAGTTGGGGAGCAGTTGGGGCTCAGGGTGGTCCATCACCCCCTTTCTCCCAGGGCTATTTCTAGCCCCTGTGGCTTGTGGGGCCAGGGGGGAAGAGGTGGCTCATTTCCAGCTCACAGGCGGCTCTGAGTCCCTGCAGCTCTGTGCATACAGACGGCAACTTGAGAGAATCTAATTAAAACGTGGTGATAGTTGCCTGCTGCAGCTCTGATGGAGAGGGATGAGAAAAGGGGCCTTGGCTTCCCATGGCTAGTTTCCTGAAGACTTATCTGATGCAGACTCGCTCATCTCCCACAGCACTTTCTCCCCCTCTGCTCCACTGTTTTCTGAATACAGGTGTGCATAAGTTTTCTGAAGGGTATCTCAGTCCCTGGGTACCCTCTGAGCCTGTTACGAATGCGTGCTCTGGTCCCTTGTGCTGCATGCGGTCAGTGCAGACACAGGGGGTGGCTTTGCCATCCATCTCATCCCAGTGCTTGCAGGGCTGGGCACCCCCTTCCCTGCAGCAAGGATGGCTGGAGCCTCTGGGTCCAACAAACATGGAGTCTGCCCATGTGCTGACTCAAGTAGGCTTCAGCTGGTAAAACCCAGGGCTGTTCTTAAGTGCCAGTTCAGACCTCAGTCACCAACTCTTTGTCTGTCCTCGAGGAGGAAGGGGAATGACAGGACAGTCTATTTGTCCCACATAAGCCACTGCCAAATGCAACAAGCCACCGCCTCAGGTTGTTGTAGCTTTTTGCTGCTTCCCCTCCCCACCCCAGAAAACCTAGATCAGCCAAGCTGTTGGCACGTCCTTCCCACCACTGCTGCCTGTTGCCCCTGCCTGTTGCAGAGGGTGTGTGACATAGATGGGACTGGAGGGGGTCGCTTGGGACTGGGGCTGGCCCTGCTGCAAAGTGCAGGGTGGCCGGTGACTCTCTGCTTGCTCAGGACATGACTGGATTTTGAAAGTAGGGATGTGCACGTACAACCTGCTGCTGGCAGGGGAAGAGGATGCATGTCCTCTGCTTTCCGCTTGCCCGAGGTGTAATGCCAGCTCCCCCGAGGAGGGCATCTCACTGGGTCACCAGGAAAAAGTAATTTGAAGTCTACGGCTGCTCTCCTTAAATCACCTTGGAAGAAGGCAGACGTGCCCAGCTCCTGGCATCTCTATTTTTACTTTGTGCAGAGATGGATATGGCTGAGCTGTCTCCTTTTATTTCCAGCGTTTGGCGCGTGCTGTAGCGCATTGCTAAAGATGTGTCTGGCTGGATGCAAAGCTGCCTGCTTCCCTGAATCCCTGGGGGACTGCAGGGGTGAAAGGCTCTTGTCTTCTGCATGGCTTTGTAATTCATTTCTTCTCTGCTTTGCTGCTCTTTGCCTCCCCCTTCCACTTTCCTTTTAGTTTTTGGACTTCTTTTTTTCTGTATTTATTCAAAGCAGCCTGGGTAAACAGGGACCAGGAAAATGGTAACTGGGGCCACTAGTAGCACTGGATTCCAGAGGCATTTTTAATGGGTTTCTAATAACTGGAACTGGCCTGTTCTCATGTAGAAACTTTTCTTATTTGCTCTATCTGCAGGTTGGCGCAGAGATTCCCTTGGAAAGGCTCACACTGTGCATTTCCCTTCCCTGACAGTCAGGCTGGCAGGCTTTGCACCTCAGGTGGCTCCAGTTGCAGCAGCTCTGATGGTGCTGGTTTGCCAGACCTGTCCTGCCGATGCTGTTTTTAGCTTGCAGCTGCCCCCAGTGCTACGCGCCTGAGCTGTGCCTGTCAGCTGCCCCGTGGCCCTCCTCTGGCTTGTGGGCAGGAGCCTGTGCACAATAGCTGGGCAAGTCCCCGTTATCTTCCTCTGCCCATGGGATGCTCATGGAGAGGCTGATTTCATGCTTAGCCGCTCCAAAACATGGTTAGGCATAAGACAAATGGTTTGACCTGTTGAACTGGGCATCTCTGAAACCTCCTGGATAACACGGGGGGAACGAGAACGCTGGCAGCTTTGGAGAGTGTAGAGGAGAAGGGAGAGTTTCTCCACTGCTGTGAAATTACCTTCAAGCTTTTCAGCTTGAAATGTTGCTTTTGCCCCTTTGGTTGCCCTCACGGACCTGGAATGGCAGCCCCAGGGTACGTGACTGTCAGGAATGTGGCTGGAGAGGGCTGCCCTCAGTGGGGACGTGGGACTGGGATGCCTGAGAGCCCCGGAGCTCTCCCTCCAGGAACTGTCCCTCCTCTGTAGGCACAGGCTGGCTGTGGCCACACCGGTTTGGGATGTCAGTGGTTAAATGAGAAGCCTTGGAGCTGACAGCTCCTGTGTCTGTGATGGAGGACTCGTTACAAGCTGCAGTGAGACTCTTAGACACGGTCTGACTTTAACCCTAATGATGTGTTATAGGGGGGTCCACCATCACAGCAGGGACCACCAGCCAAGGGTTGGCTCTGAGCGTCAGGCTGCAAACCCACTGCCTTTGGTTGCTGAGTCTCTGCCTCCTGTGGGAAGGAGATGGGCCTTAGCGTGTATGTGCTTGAACGTGTCCACCCACCCGCCTCCCAGGAACAGGAGTGCCTCAGCACCGCAATGCAGTAAGCGGGCTTGAATTCAAGACCATCATCCCCTTATCTGGGTGTTGCAACAGATGGTGGTGATCTATAAACTTCTGTGGTGAAGGGAGGCTGAGGGGAGGCCTGTTCAAGGGCTGTTGCTCCTGAAGGATGTGAATATTCTCTAGTTCTTGGTTGGGCTTTTCTTGCTTGCATCTCCCATGTGAAAATGTGGGAGTGGAGCATTTGAGCCTGGGCTTGATTTGATTTGAGCCATCCGAGTTATGTGGGCTAACTGGGAGCAGGGCAGGCTCATTCTGAGCCCAGAGATGTGGCAGTATATCCAAGGTGGGAGCATGAGGGCTGGTACGAATGCCTGTGTACACAGGCTAAAACTACTCCCTGCTCCTTCTGATGCTGAAACCCCTACGTTTTGGCTCTGCTATCTGGCAAAAGAGGCGACTGGAGGTCACCTGGGGCTGTGCCAGAGGATTCAGTGTCATCGTTCACTTCAGGAGGGGACCTGTGTCAGCTCGGACTGAGTGTGCTGTGCGCTGCGGTGCAGGCAGCTCCCATTGCAGGCCACACTCTCCTGTTCATCCACTGCCTTGGAAGTGCCGATGCACATCACAGACACAAAGAAGCAAGCCGATGTGTCAGCATTGCTGCTGTATTGATGTTGGGTTAATGAGAGTTGGCATTTGGAGCTGCTTATCCCTTGCCCTTGAGTATAAAACGGCACTTGGATGGGCCCTGGTGTTCAAAGTCATGATCGGGCTGTGAAGGTATTGCAGCAGATCTGATGGGGAGAGGCTGTTCTTCCTAGAGACTTTAAGCCCTGAGGAGCCTGTTCCACCTGAATGCATGTAATGAAGCACAGATAAAGGGGCTGGGGGTAAGAACTATGCATTCCTGGGTTTGGGGTTTCTTTCCACCCTGTCTTGGGTTGGTGTGGAGGACATGGTCATGCTGGCCAGGCAGGAGAGCTGTTTGAGATGGTTGCAAGCAGCGTCACTTGTAGCCCTCAGTGTTTGGGTGGGTGAGTGGAGGTGGTGAGATCAGCACGGCTGAGAAGGCTTATGGAGTGGGGAGGGGGAGAGTTCCTAAGCCAACGCAAATTGGCTGCCTGCTTCCCAGGGAGATGCTTCCTGTGAGATGCGGCTTGAATACAGGGGAGCAGATGCGTGAAATGGGAAAAGAGTCTGTCTGGTAGTTCCTGCCACCTTCCTGCCAGCAGAACTATTCACCTGTCACATTTGGTGAAGGAGTTCTGTGGGATCCATCAAAGCTGTTGCAAAACCCGGTGAGAATCGGGGCAGGAGATGCTCAGGCTGGGACAACCCTGAAGGCCCAGTTTGTGCCGCGATAGGTCTGCCTGCATCCTTCCTGTGTGGCGGTAGCACCACAGATCATCTGCTGTGCAACAAGGCTGGTCTGTCACGTTTGTCTCTGTGGTCCCATGTCAACAACAGAGCTTGATTTCAGCCTGCTGCTAATTGGCCAAGACTAACTGAAAATGGCTTGTGTGTAGCTCTTCTGAAAGCCGTGTGGTCCTTCTGAAAACCAGAGTGCAGGGCAAGCTCTGGGGTGACTTTCCCAAGGTAAGGCACAAACATGGCTCAAATTCCTCTCCTTGCCAAGGAGTCAAGTGGCATCTCCAGTGCTTCCAGACCTTGCTTTGTGGCTTTGCTGCAAGCCCTGTGTCTCTAACAAGTTGGAAGCCACTCAAAGTGGACTCTGGCTTCTGAGAAGCAACATGGTTATCAAATATGATCAGAAGTCATGATGCAGGACAAGCAAAGTGCTTCTGCTGTATTCTGTTGAAGTAGAGACTGATGCTGGGACATGGGGGCAGGCTCGTAGGGACTGGGGCTGTCTGTGAGGGTGGGTGGGCTGTGAACTTGAGCAGCCTCTGGGCTTGTTTGTGCTGCACTGGGGGGTCCAGCTCTCTGCTACTGCTGCATACAGGGCTATACACCTTGCTTAGCTGGCTAACGGGCTTGTGCTGAACACATCTCTTCCCAGGGCTGGTGGGATCGCCAGTGGGATGCCCAGCTCCTTGTGGGGTGTCTGGACAGGGACACCCAAGTGTGTAGGAGAGCATCGCTGCCACAAAGGTCTCTGCTGTCAGCCTGAGTTCAGGGGCTGATGCACATATTGAGAAAGGATGTTGGTTCATTTGGGAGAAAATTAGAGAGAGGGCTACCTCTCAGGGAGCTGCAATCACTGCTGTTAGGGGCTTTCACAGTCCAAGAAGGCCAGCATGAGGACTTCAATGGCGATAACAGCTGGGAGTAGCACTGGGGTAGCAGGGGGTGTGCAACAATGCTGAGGGTAAGGGGAAAACGTGCTTCTGAAATGATAGCATGACCTGATTCCTTTACTCCACTTTTCCACCCGTGTGTTTTCATGAGGCACTGCTCCTGCACAAGTCCGTGTACAGTACCTGAAGCAAGTCTGAACCTGAGGTTTTGCTTTCTCCCAGTGCTTATGTGTGTGCTTTCTCTCAACAGCCATCAAGGTGAGCTGCATTGGATCCTGTGGGGTGTCTAACAAGATCAATGACACAGCGTGGACTGTGGAGGAGCAGTACTTTAACAGCACGCTGTCTCTGGCGGACAAAGGTAAGGTCCACAAAGATGTGGTGGAGATCTGTGATTCTGATGTGGTCTACAGAAATGTATCACCACGACTTCAGCATCTTCTCAATGTGAAATACCCCTTCACAGGCTGCCTTGGCCTGTGCACAGGGGATGGGAGCCAATATTAGAGACTAGAAGAGCTTAGAAGGAGCTGTGCAGAGAGGCATCCTGAAGAGCTGCAGAACTCAGTAGCCACCCTGCAAACACTGTTTGCATCCTGTGGCCCGGATCTGCCTGAAATGGGGCTGCCAGCAGCGACTTCTCTGCTGTTTCAAGGCCCTGTGGGTTCACCCTGCTCCGCCTCCTGTGTGTGTTTTCTGTGGTGGTCACAAAACGCTGATCAAAGTTGATCAACAGAAGCCAGTTGTGGGCGAGGAGTAGTTTGCATCGAAAGGGATGTGGAGGTGTCACTTGTCCTCCAAGGGAAATGTTGAGAGCATGGCAGGAACAGCCTAGGACAGTTACCACCATACCCCCCGCAAGCCGAGATGCCCAGAAATAGTGCTGGGGTTGTATTATCCTGTGGGGTAAAGTGACACCAGCAGCCTCTGGGGAATCTGCACTCGAATGAATGCTGTCTTTCTGCTGGTAAATAGGTCAGCCTTACCACAAATAATTCATGCTGTGCCCTGGCTCCTGTTGAAATCAAGATGTGCCAGTATTCACCTGCTGAAGGCAGTGGCTGTAGTGGTAACTGTAATGTGGCAAATGCCTGGGCTAGCAGGAGCTCAGCTCTCTGGTGCTGTTGCATCTAATAAAAGGAAATGGCTAAAACTGAAGTGGCAGTTTCTGATAGCGCAGCAATTTTTCTAGCAGAGCTTTTAGTGTTGATGGGAGACTGACCTCATCCTTGCAGCAACTGGAGAGAGCACTGCTTGCTCTCAGGTCCCAGAGAAGGGAGATGGCTGGCTGGCTCACCCCTTGTTTTGGCTCATAGCCCAGGGGCTGCAATTGGAGGTAAACTGCCTGGGAGGGCGATGAGAAGTGTTTCTGCCTGATTTTGGATATGGCGCTGAGCATGGCCAGAGAGCCCAGCTGTGAATGTTGGAGTAGCAAAATCCCAGATGCTTTATAAGGTGCTGTAGGCCACTGAGCTTAGATGAGTTGGGAGCTGGAGGGTGCAAACATTTGTGGACTTCTGGAGAGATTTAAACCTGCAACTGCACTGAAAAATGCACCTTCCAACTTTTGTTTCTAATATTTAATGATTCAAGGGAGAGCTGTGATACTGTGGTCAGTTCTGTGCTGGTAAAGCTGAGTAGTGGGAAAAGCCAACCAAGGAGGTAGGAGTGGGAAGAGGTGGGTGTGCTGTTTGTTGGGTTTGCAGCCCCTGGGAGATTTTGATAGCTGCTTCAGCATTCGGCTCTTGTGAGGTTGCCCCTGGGAGCCATCCCCTTGACAACTAGAACCAGTGTAGACTGGGAAGGATGGAAGGAAAATGCATTGATGGCTACATGCTTTCATGGCTCTGAAGGCCTGAATTCCAAAGATGGCCAATATTTGGTACTCCCAGCTATTAAACTGTTTCATGGAAAGCCCTAGTCTTTTGGCTTTTCATTTTCTGGGACCCAGACTTTTGTGTATGACCCAGTGCAGTGCTGCTATCTGTCAGCTGCTGGAGTGCAGACTCTGCCAACCTGAGATGAGCTGGGGTGGCAGGGCCGGGCTGCTCGCTCTGCGCTGGAGCCGGTCATGGAGCTGGCAGCTCGAAAGCTCAGGTGTGTTGTAGTGTCATTACTGTCCTGTCTTGCAAAGCTACAGTACCATTACAGGAAAAAACCTGATCCCAGCTACCAGCAATGAAACTGGAGCAGCATGCCAGGTACTTACAGTCTCTGACCTGTACTCTTCTGCTTTTTGTGTCAAAGTGGACACAACCACTGGGAGCTCTCAGCCTCTGGCTTCCAGCTGTGGGGAAGCAGATACAGAGAGGGCGGGCAGTCCTTGTGCATGGGATCGCAGCCAAGGGCAGCGCTCGTGGGGCGTTTGTGCTTTGTGCAACTGGTACAGGAGTTACTGTCCTGGTCTTGCTGTGTTTGTCCCATGCCCTGAGGACGCAGGGGAGCGAGCGATGGGACATGGGTGGGAGAGGGCAGTGTTGATGCTGCCTTTGGACCTGAGTCCTCCACCGGAGACGGCTTTGAAACTTGTCTCTTGCAATTGTGGCGCTGGCCTGTGCAGATATGGAAACAAAAGCCCTGGGGGTTGGCACTGCTCCAGCCTGCGGCGCTGGGAAGCAAGATAACTGTCTGCTGTCGCAGCCCTCACTGTGACATTGATGCATGTCCGGGCTGGCAGAGCAGCAGGGAAGTCTGGCTTGCTTCTCTGTGACTCTGCCTGTGTGTGTGCCTGCCTGTCTGTCTGTCTGTCTGCCTCCTCCAAGGGGGCTGCTGGCAGTACCGCACCCTGGCATGGCACAGCCCTGCAGTGAGGCAGTGGCAGGGGTTTGCTAGGGGAGCCGTGCAGTGGCCTTGTGGGCACGAGTGTCAGGGCAGGGCCTCAGCGCTGACTCAGCCACAGCATTTTTAGGCTCCCCAGGAATAGCTTTCAGCTGCCCTGGCCTTTCCTGAACAGAGTGTGAAGGAGCTTCAGAAAGACAGACGGACCATCAAAGTACAGCTGCCCCTTCCCCTGTGACTCTGGACAAGAACATTTGGCAAGGATGGGCTGCTCCAGTGTCTGGCAGCAAAGCAGTTGCAGCTGCCTCTGGGGACGCACACCCAGCACTTGTGGGTGCTCCTCGGGGTGCCTCCGTGCAGGTCTGACACTCGTCTGGGAGGGGAAACTGAGGCAGTCTTGCGCTGTTGGGTGTTGAGTTGGGCCATACTCTCTGATGGCAGGAGCCCAGGGTATGGGTGAGCTAAGGGAGTCGGAAGCATTCCTGAGCAAGGACCACCAAAGGAGCACGGGGCCAGCTCAGCCGCTGGCCCACACTGCCAGCACGCAACTCCTTCTCTGGCCAGCACTGGAGAGCCGCAGGCAAAAGGCAGTGAGCACCACGAGCAAAGGTTACTGCGGCTGCAGCAAATACTGCGGTGGGGTATGGGATGGTCCTGCCACATGCGTAAAAGCGTGCAGAAACCCCCAGGGGATGTCACATCTGAGCAGTGCAAATGGAAAATGAATAGAGGAAGAGGGGGAATTTGCTTCTGCCTTGGAGGACTCTCATGTTCTTGCGTTCCCTCCCCTTACAGCAGTGCTGTTACATCTCAGTTTTGAACATGTGCATTAAAAAAAAAAAAAGCAAGGGGGAGCAGCATTTCCCTGCTGGGGGGTGATCTGGCAGCTACGCTGTGCCCTGAGGCAGAGGATGATGCCAGGCTCCCCGCTGGCACCATCCCAAACCCTCTTGCAGAGGGCTCATCCAGCCTGATAGAGTCTGCTTGGGTTGAGGGAGGATCCCAGGTGTCCCCAAGGCCATGCAGCCAATGTGTCTCCATCTTGCCTCCTGCTCCAGCGGGGCCACAGCAGTGCTGGCACCTGGGGGGACGGTGCGGGGAGGCATGCTCAGCCTGAAAAACAACCCGCCTCGTGCTCTCCCTTCCCACATCCTGAGCAGTAACTTTAAAAAACAGAGATCTGTGCTCTTTGAGGACACGTGGGGGGGAAGGGGAGAGGAGGGTTGCAAAACTATCGAGGCTTGAATTGCTCTTTAAGCATCTAAGAGCAACTCCGCGCTTCTCCACCCACACACCTTCTCATTGAAATAAGTGAGGGGGCAGCTCATCCTCTGTAGCATCAGCTGTTGCTTGTATTATGTGCAGGGTTTTTTTTTTTTCTTAAGGGTGTACATTGTATGAGAAAGGAGGCAGGCCCTGAAATAACCCAGATGCCCGCTTTGCAATGTAAGGGACTTATTTAAGGCACTGGCCTTATCCTTAATTTCCCTTCTCGCCCCCCCTTGGAGCAGCATCCAGGGTATGGAGGGCTCAGCCTTGCTGCTGGACCATCCGCAGGTTGGTGAGGCTGTCTTGGCTGCAGAGGACCCTGCTCATGTCTGTGCTGGTGTGGTGCCTGTCCCTGCTCGAGCAGTGCAGCGTCTGTGCTCCGGGAACGCCTCTCGCTGGCACTGAGCAGGAGCTGGAGGCAGCGGGCGCCCGTGAGCTGCCGGGGGAGGTGGGGGATTGCGCAGGGTCTGTGCTGTAGCCTTGGCAATAACACACAGGCCAGCGGTTTAATGAACTCGAGCTCTTTACATAAAAGCTGCTGGAAGGTGCTGAGCGTGCCAGCTGGTCTGGAGCCGCTCGCTGCTCCATGTGCTGGAGCACAGTGCTGTGCCGGGGAGGTCACTCAGCCCATGGGGGACTCCCAGGGGAGGCTCGTTATTTGCCTCCGGGAGGGGAGGCCGAGCGGGGATTTGCTTTGCCCACTTGGCCTGAGTTTGACTTGGACTTTGACTGCTCCTGCTCCCTGGTCCTGTTTTTTCTTGGGCCCTTTTTTTGCAAAGAAATGCAATAGGGGTGGGGGGGAACCTCACAAGTGTGGGTGGTGTTGGGTTTCTGTAGGTGTCAGCAGTGCAGAAGATCAAGTACACTAGTTGCAGCAAGTACAAAATAGCACCACTTGTACCTGCCGCTCTTGGACAGAGAGATGCTTCTCTTGGTCCAATATAATGGAGTAATTCAGCTCTGCAGAGGCCTTCTGCTCCTCTCCCCCTCCCCTCCTGGAGCTCTGACCGTATTCAGCCAGAGAGGAGCCAGTCCATCCTGTGCCTGTACCCAAACGGGGCTTTTTTTTCTTGGACACCCTGTATCTCCCAACTGCACAGACAGCTCTTGCCCTGGGATGGGTTGTGCATGCAAAGGTAAATTTTTTTTTTTTTATTATTATTATTATTCTCTTTTAATCCTACTTTGTACCTGAGTTGAACCTGTGCAGGGGGCTGGCTGTAATTTCCGGCTGACCTTACATTTGGCAGCTTGTAGTTAGCTAGAAGGCACTGCAGGGAATTCCTGGCTGCTCCACGTGCTTCCTTTGCTGGC